TGCCTCTCTTAGAGAATACCCTACATTTTCTTACCTCCACGCTTTGACTCAATATGTTCTGTTAGTCTGAGATGACCTCTCCCATCTCTACCTGCAGAACTTTGGCTCTTCCTATAGACTTCTGCGTAGATGCCATCTTCTGAAGAAAGTCAGCCCAATCCCCATCTGCTCCCACACCATCCAGTCCCTTGCACTAAATGTGATTTCCCTTTCTGCTAACTCACACCACAGTTGTGAGGCAATAGAGTATAAATGTCTGGTGCATATGGACATGGGATCTAGATTTAGATCTTGTGGTGATGTTTTCTAGCTGTCAGTTAACTTATGTGAACCTGAATTTCTTCAGGCATCAAATGTGTATAAAGGATTGCCCCATGTTATAGTGTGTTTTGAGAATTTGCTTTTTTATCTGTTCTTCCTTGACATTTGTCCTCTCCAACTTTGTCTCCTCTCTCATTAAAATGGGGACTTGCTTAAGGGAAGGAGAGTATCACATCTTCCTAGGGCCTTGGACATATGGGAACTGCTATCAGGCACCTTTAAAGAACAGAGATTCCATACAGTCTGTTGGCATTGCGATCGGCTCACTGCTGGGTGTGGGTTCTAGTCATGTGCTAGGCTTACTAGGAGCTCTCTAATTTGGATCTTGAGACACATACAGGACAAGTTGTACAGATGCTGGCTCCTACTTCTTGGGAGATAGAGGGAGACGGGCCCTAGATTTTTTCCTGAGTTGAGCTGGCTAGTGCTGGCAGATCCCTGAAAGCAGAATTGTGTCTTAGTTGAAACAAAATTTGATTTCTTTCTAGAGTCTTCCACTTGTCTGTTCTGTGGGTGAGAGTTCCAGACTTAGAGGACAGGATCAGTGGCAGAGTGGGTTAGGGGCAGCTCTGGGAGCCACCTTCTCTTCTGGGGAGGTGGTCCCTTCAGAAGCTCTCTCCAGACACCCCACCCTTGCTTTGCTTAGAGGCTGGCTAGGAAAGGGGGTTTATTTCTTAAGATGATGACTCTACCATTTAACCTTCTCTTACATCATTTCCCAAAATGTGGCTCCTGAGGAGTCTCACAGTCCAAATGCTTCATCCCAGGACATGAAGTCCTCCGTGTCTTGGCTACAGCATCCTTTCCAGCCTCACGCCCCGCCACATCCCTTCAGACCTCTTCCACTGGCCTCCCCAGATTAGTCACTGTCCCTGAGAACACCCTGAACTCCTCCTCCTCAAGGCTCTTGCACATTGTGTCCCCTAAGCCCATTTTCTTCCTCTTCATATATGAAGATCCTCTTGAGTGTTCAGGCTCAGTTTAGAAGTCGCATTGTCTGCCAAGAACTTCTAGACCCTGAATAAGACATGGGGTGGACTTGTACCTTTGTTGTCTTTTCATCCTGTCTCGTGGGCCAGCAATTCCCAGTGCTATTGAGGTCTTGGAGAACTCTAGCCTGTCGAGCTCAGCAGCTCTACCTTCTGTGTCCACACACTGCTTAATCAAGGACGGGAGGTGTTAGCACACATCTGCTGATGAGGGCAGGGAACTTGCCATCATGTCAGCTAGCAGTTACTCCAGAGGGGTTTTGGGGCCCACTCTAGGCTTACTAACCATGATGTATTTGATCATGAGCCCGGCCATTTGAATTCTGCTTTTGAATTGGACTGATATTAGCTCATTCCTAACCTTTCCCAAGTCTATTTCCCACATACTAGAAGTCTGCTTAATGCCAAGTCTCTGAGCTTTTAAATTCACTTAAGAACATAACAGCAAGGTGGAATTCAGGGTGGATTTACATGCTTCTAAGGTGAAACCTTTTACTTATTTGGAAAATGTGGCCAATATTTTTATCCCAAAGATCTTGAAATATGAAAATGTTTTTTTTTTTGCATGTGTTTTTGTCTTCAGAATAACTGTCCATATCATAACTGTAACTGCAATTAATAAAACCTGTGTCATGGAGCTTGATTTTTTTTTTTTTTTTTTTGAAGACCTGTGTTCAGATTCCAGCTTTATTACCAACTAGCCCCCAAACCTTGAGCAGGTGCTTATCTCCCTGATCTTCACTTTGATCAGTGTGCAATTTGGGGGAAGTTTTCTCAAAGGGTTGATTGAAAATTTAAATGAAATATTGATCGAGAAATTGAAATTTTTAGAGTGTGTGTCTCAAAAACTGGATTGGAAGCCATTTCTAAATAATGTTTTCAATAAGTTTGCATTTGAAGGAAAATACCAAGATAGAAGTTTGTCTTTGTGTATTATGTTTTAAATGACAACATAAATGAATTTACTTTCAGGGGCCACGTGGTATCTAATAGAACATAAATGACTTGTAATACTCAGTTTGAAAACAAATAAATCATAAGCATAAGCTTTGAGAAATTGTAGAAATCTTTGAAGGAGGCAAGCATGAATCAGTGTCTTGTGTGCAGCCTCTACAATTTCATACATGTGGAGTATGAAATTGTAGGAAATGGGCACTGCCCTCAGACTAGCAGGTGTTATGAGCCCTGTGCTGCAAGTGCAGAGGCTTGGGCTCTGAAAGGTTAAAAATCATTTATGCAAGTCCAGCATTAAAGCCTTGAACTTCAAAGTGTGTTCTTGATGGCTTCTAGAAACCCCTTATATTTACAGATGTGACAAGTCCTGCCTTTACTTCGTTGATCCTTTTTCCTCTTCCTCCAGGGCAGCCACTAATTCAGGGCAGATAAGGCAGTGGAAACCTACAGTCTCATGACCCATCACTTGCTTAATAAATCCGGATAAACATCTTGACTTTTCCTGCCAAGTCTCTCTGCTCATGACATGTCTACTCTGTGCTCCTTTAGCTCTACTCATTCATCAGTCTTTACTCCTTTTTCGGAGAGAGATTTGCCATTGCCCATCTCCACCTTAGTGGTCAAGAGTATATTTAAAAAGGGTTTCAAGTTTCTTAAAAAAATGGTGGAAAAAGAAATTCACTATTTCTTGCCATTTTCTGTGATTTATGGGCCACCATGTGGAAGAGGTAGCAGGGGGCTGGAAGTTAGTAGCCATGGGTCGCATCTTGGATCTGACACTGACAAGAGAGAGGACTTGAGGCCAGCTCTTCCTTTTGCTTTCAGGACCTCAGTGTCTTCATTCGTAAAAAGTGAGGGCCCTGCTAGGTGATTCCTAAGATTTTAAAATTCTGCATGTTTTCTGGTGTCAAAACCATCAATTTCTTCGGAGCTGCGTAATCCTGCAGCTGTTTCTCTGATACTTTTCAATCTTTAGATTTAATCTATTCAACAATGTATAATTTTTTAAAGAGAAGCTTTTATAGACATTTCTGAAATGTAAGGGTGGGGGGGATAAATGGATGTTAAAAAATAGAAAACAACCAATTAAATAGTATATAGCATGTAATTCTCCTTGGAAACTTACCGCGAAATTGAGGAGCACTTTAACAACTGGTAATTTAAATTGCATTTGAACTCTGCTAATGGTTTGTTTGCATGGGAACTTCAATCATTTCACAGCGGTTCTTTAGCAAAGCTGCTTGTTCTCTTTATGGAAAAAAAGAAAAAAAATATTAAAAGAAGTTGACTATGGAAAAGGGAGACTGCTTTTGTTGGTACATGGAGGGAAGGCGTAGAGTATGTGAATGGGACTTCCCGAGGGCCAAGGGTGGAGAGCTATTCCATTCTGTGAAGTTTAGAAATCTGGGAAGTCGAGTGTCTTTTGCTGCTATTGTAGAAATTGTTCTGATTTTATTCTTTCTCTGCAAGAAACTTTGGTTTCACGGGGCTTGGGAGAAGAGGGATTACCTTTTTGTTTTCTATGAGATTGTACTGTCTAAGTTTGGCCTCCTAAGAATCCATTCCCCAGCAAATTCGAAATTGTGCCTCTCAGTGGAAATAATCTTGAGACTTCTGATATTCTTGAAGACCACTAGTGTTGAGGAAAATCAACAGGGCAGATGAGGCAGTGGATTGATTAAACTCATCTTGATTAAACTTAATTTTCCTTATTTTATTTCTTTCTGTTCCTGGTGTGTACTGGGAGAACATTGATGTAGGTGTTCAGAGGCCTGGGTATATAAGTCTTGGTTTTTCTCCAAGACTTATTTGATCATCATATGGTCAAAGACCTGATTAATTCATGTCGTCTCTCAAAGTAAGAGGGCAGTAACCAGATCCAGTGGATCCAGCCCTAGACTGCCTGCCATCCATGGTGGGCTCTGAATGGCCACCCTATCTTAGCTCCTAGGTTCTCTTCCTGGTAGTTGGAAGAGTTGAAGTGTACCATCTTTAAGCTCTTTCCCAACTTTGAATATGTAACAAGGATTTGAAGACTGAATGAGATGATATACATGAAGCAATTGTAGGAGGGGGTAAATGTTTCCAATCACAGCAATAAGAATGGGGGTGATAGATTTTCTAGTATTTGAATTTCCCTTTTGAACACAAAGGATAAGTTTTACAGCAGGCCCCTGCCCTGGAGTACTTGCGTGCTGGAATATACACTGCATAGTTCTTAGAAAAGAAGTAATAGTTCTTAATGAAATAAAACCTGTAATGAGAACTTACCAAGAGGTGTTGAGATTTTCCAGCTCTCTTTGGCTCACTAGCTCTCATTTTTCAGGCAAGAAGACTAAAGTTTAGAGATGTCATGAGGTTGCAGAGTTAGAAATTTGTTTCCAACTTATATTTCTTTTTATTTGGCATACTTAAGTTATTTTTTTTTCTTGTCTAAAACGTCTCTAATAGATCTGTCTCTTTCATTGCCATTATTGGAATGAAACCCTTTTTCCAAGAGATTTGAGATGTGAACGCTGAAGAACCACCCTTCTTTTTCCTCTACATTCTGAGAGAAAATAGTAAAATGGAAAGTGCTAGCAACTATCTGGGTTTAGGAGGTGTAGAGGTAGGCCACTAGAGTTGTGCACTTCAAGCCTGGTGTTGTCGCTATGGTCAATCAGGCTTCATACACCCGGGGAATTCAGAAGCAGTAACACCCTGAGGATGTGTAAACACTCCTCTCATTTTCCACAGGTGGGACAAGGAGACTCGGAGTTGGAAGTGAAGCCAGAATCCAGTCCGCCAATTCCCAGTCCAGTGCTTTTTCAACTGTGCACTCATTGGAGAGAAGATATTTTTCCTCAGCTGGTAAGTCCTACACAGAAAACAAGACATTTCTCTTTCAATGTGCATGATTTAATGAATTTTAAAATTCAGTGGTTTTCATGTAAAGCTTGGGTACCAGTAACTCGGATTCAGAAGCAGAGAAGACCAAAATGTCCTTCTGTTAATAAATGGATTTTGTTGGCAACAGACAAGATATAATAATGCTAATAAAATGTGTGGCAAAGCAAAGGCAAGACTCAGCTCTTGGAAGGTGGCATGCGGAGAATTTGGAGGAAAATTTTGAGTAGTGGTGATTTTAAGGTTGCTAGTAATTGTATTGCTTTTTTCTTTCTCTTTTGGCATGAAAAGAAGTGTTCTTGAAATTGAGAGACCAAAATGAAAATGTCAGGCAACAGCGATATGAGCATATGTGAGGAAAGAAAGCAATATTTACTGTCTCTGTTTATTCCTTTATTCCTTTGTAAGGTGTGCTCTCTTTTGGCACCTCACTTTACTTTCACAACTTTTTGAGGTAGGGGAGGCTAGCTTTACTTAGCAGAGGGGAATGAGCCTTTTTGTTAATGAGCTTGGTGGAGTTCCATTGTCATGGCCCTGACTGGGACTTTTGTTGCTCACTAAGGAAGGAAAAGGGCCACCAGGTAAGGTTATCTTTCCCTTGCAACTTGGAACATCTGTGTTTAGTGGGTAGAGTAGAACATCGAATTCTTAAAAAAAAAAAAAAAAAAAAAAAGAACATGGCAAAGATGATCAATCACCTGAGCTGTGGTGAAAGCTGAGGGAAATAGTTGGGGAATTCTGGCTAAGGCTTCCGCTTAGGATTCTAGTTCTGTGGTTTCCATGTTGAGGGCCAAACCCTCTGTGCCCAAGCCTTGGCATTATAGTGCGTAAATAATATGCTTCACCATGTTTGTGGTGTAGTTTTTCAAAACAGAGCAGATGCTGTTGTGATTGATAAAATGTAACTTCATTTAAAAGTGTGGCTGAATTTGTAGTTGGCATTTTGTCACTCTGTCTTTTTAATGAATGTGCAACTGACTTTCCGTGGGCCTGCTGATCTACATAACATAAAAGGCTGCAGCTCTTTGACGTTGACTCTTTAACATTGTAGTCTGTTAAAATCTCAAACATGGTCCCGCTAGCATCGGTTTAAGCATGAAATGGGAATCTGTGTTAGCTGCTCCACCTGTTAAGTTTTCTCAGTGTTTAAAATTAAATTGTGATGTATATGAAGCCTGGCCCTTAGATTTAAAGAACTCAAGTGTGTAATGACAGACTAGGAGAGATTGCTTTAACAGAAGCAAGCCAGAAAACACCCAGAGGGTTTTTTTTTTTTCTTTTGGTGGTGTTTGTTTTTTTAGTTGGTAAGCTAGTTTTGGGCTTTTTGTCTTCTAAAATGCCAGTGCAGCTTCAGACTATATTAAGGGGAATATGGTATCTAGAACATGGTAGATGGATGATCCTGCAAACTTAGAACACCTGGAAACTGGCTAATCCAGAGCTAAGGTAGACTTCAGGCTCAGCTTGAGCAGGGCTGCTGTTTCTCTGCATTCTTGTTCTGCTGGCTTTTTTGTGTGTCGGCTTCATCCTCAGGATATTGTACCTCATGGTCACGAGTTATTTGCCTGCTTTAGCCCAGGTTATCGGCAACCTCCTTCCTATCTGAGGGAAAGAGAGCCTTCTTTACCATATTCTCACAGGATTACTGTAGAGTGCTGAACCAGTAACAGGCCAAGCTGATGGGACTGTTTTAATTGGCATGTATGAAGTAGAGTATGAATTGGATTTTGAGACAATCCTACCTGAACCTCGTGGCCACGAAACAATGGAGAACAAGCATCTCCTCAAGGAATATCCAGGTACTATTAAGAAGAGGAGAGGTTGTATGTGGACAACCATGGACATTCTATATCCCTGTTTACCCCCCTCAGGGCCCTCCAAAGCGTATCAGGTTGTAGTTCATGCTCACCTTCTGAAAAGGACATTAGCCTGCTGAGCTCTACATGAGGATGCTGAGAGGACCAGAAATGGTATCCCACCAAATGCAGGAATGATCCCATGAAAAGGCAGGACACCAGGGTACACACCATGGGCTTGAAGAACCCAGGCAGTAGAGGGACGGAATTTCTTGTTCACGTGTGTATCCTTGTAATTGAGTGGGGTGCTTGGTACATAACAGGTGCACATGCATCTTCATGGATAGAAGGAATAAATCCACAGGTAGAGTGTCCCTTTTCCTGAGGGTGTTCTACCAGGCATTGGCTAAGTCTCTGTTGATCAGTCATAGGAATGCTTGCACTAGTGAGGCTGGACTGCTTGGTTTTGTGAGAGTGAAATGAACGACTGAACAGAAAGAGACTTTGGGGACCGTTATGGCTTAGGAAGTCTATGAGTGCCTATAAGGGCAGACACTGGTGGGATGGGGTAAAGAACAATCTCTCTACTCTCATTTTCCCTGTCTCAGAATCAGAGGTGGTAATCATTGCCTTGCCTGCTTCTCATGATGTTTAGAGCAAGTGTGTTCATAGATGCCCAACTGTCTACTAAATGATAAAGTGTGGTCTGGATGTGATATGTTATCACAGTTTTTTCTTTAAAGATTCATCTTAAATGTAAAGAAAAATGAGATAAGTCAACTACCCAGCATTGCTTCTGGTGCATAGCCACATGCTCCTTGAACCCTGTCTTCCCATCCCAATACTCTGTCTTCCCCAAGATTGGATGGGCAGTCTTGGGGAAGACAGGGTATTGGGCAGGAAGATGGGCAACTCATCCTCAGTCTGGAAAAGCAGCTAGATCTGGAGCCTTGTTTGATAATGATAATTAAAGTTGAAGTATAATTATGTATTTTAAAGACTTTCACATTTGTTTTTGCCTGAGGGAAGTGGGAGCTTGAAAGAGGTGGATCTAGAGACCAAGGATGCACAGTGCTTGAGACCCCAGAGAAGCTATGTCTAGTTGTTTGACTTTTGCTTCGTTTGGTTAGATAATCACACCTTCTGCTCCAGGCATGACTGGCCCAGTGGGAGTCAGGAAGGGAATTATTTCCCTCTGTTGATCCCTAGGTACAATTGTTGACTGTTGCCAAGGGCTTTCAGTTTTAATATTTTCTCTTTGGTCCTGAGAAGTATCAGGTATTAGTTTCTGCTGGAAGCAAAACATTGGTCACTTCCGACAGAGGTGAATGTCTTGGCTCTCTACAAATACTTGGTCAGGCGTTTCTGGGTATTTGTGACCATCTGTTTAGCCAGATTTTATTGCTTTTTTTCTATTTGCTTCCAAATTTATATAAGAAGACTCGCTGGGTTTGAGCAGTGACCCACCTAGTCTCCAAGAATCTGTGGCTCTTCACTAATTTTTTGCAGGAAGTGTGTTCACCATTCATGAAAGTAAATAGTAAAGCTAGTTCTTTTTTTGTCCTCCTTGTTACTTCCATATTCTTATATTTCAGTGCAGATACCTCTCTTCTATTTTGGGAATGGCCCTTGGAGATTAGAAAGGTTCTCAAGTTCTCCCGCATTGGGTTACTATGTGGCAGAAGGGCTCTGATACCTAAGTAGTTGGAGGGTCCTTCGTAGTTTCTGCCACATATCTACCCGTGGTTCATAAAGAATGTGCTTGTTTTCTGCCCTGACTCCAGGGTTTGTCTGGAGGGTAGGACCTCAAAATCTTTTGGACACCATGGTGAATTAGGTATAGTCCCTGATCCTAAGACTCTTGTAGTTGGGGAGAAAGGAACACACACAAGAAAGTAATATACATGAGGAGGATATTGGTCACAACACACATTTATTAATCCCTAGCTGTGTTTTAGGCCATATGTTAGGTACTTTGAAAGATCTAGGGAAGTGGGTCATAGCTTTAGATCTCACAAAGCCTCAATGTAAGACTGGGAGAGTAGAAAGGATTGGGGATACTTTGGGAAGTTTCTAGAATGAAGGGATCTGATCTCAGAACTGAAGCTTTATGGCTCAAGCTCAGATGGCTGGCAGGATGGGACTGCCACTGGCCCACTGGGTCTGGACAGGTTCAAAACATGTTGGTGATATGAAAGAATGGTTAGAAAGTTCAGGAGCATCTCACCTCTGTGCGTGCTTCAATTTTTAGCTCATTGCCTACCCATGTGCTGCTATAGAAAATGTCTTGCAGACTTTTTGAGGCAGTGAAATTATATCCACGGTCATGTCCATATGGGCAGAGTATGACTGAGTATATGGCACAGTCTACATTCTTAGGGACAAAGGTTTCTTTTAAGAGTTCCTGATATTGAATTTCTTATGATCTACTTAGGTCTCATGAAAAATGGTGGAGTTTGTAGGGAGCTATTAAAGGATCCCAGGACTAGATGTTTCCAACTTTGATGCTATATTAGGTCTATTGTTGTGTTAAAAAAAATTTGCCCACACATATCTCCTTGAAACAAGGAACATTTATTGTCTCATGGTTTCTATAGGTCAGGAATGTGGGAGCAGCTTAGATGGGTGCCTCAGGGTTTCTCAGGCGGTTGCTGTCCAGGTGTTGTTGGACCTGTAGTCTCATTTTAAGGCTCAAATGTGGGAACATTCACTACTAAACTTACTTATATGATTGTTGGCAAGATTAGTTCCCTGGAGATAGTTGGATTAAGGGCTTCAGTTCCTTGTCATGACTGTAGGGTAACTCCTATGATAGCTGGCTTCCCTTACATTAATGAGCAAGAATAGTCTGAAGTTGCAAGCCACAGACCTTTTATAACCTAATCTTGGCTACATTTTTCTCTGCCTTGTTCTCTTGGCTACAAGTGTTTCACTACATTCAGTGTATAGCCAAGGGGAGAGGTTGCAGAAGGGCATGACGACCTAGAGGTAGCGTTACGGGGGGGCTGTCTTAGGGGCTGCCTGCCAGATAATCCATTCTGCATGGGATGTGGTAAGGTGAGAGTAGAAGTTACCTGGAGCTACTGAATAAACTTAGCATACCTCTGTGGGTCAATATTACTTGAACACTTTTTGTAGAGGAAAATTCCATTTAAAAACGATAATATA